CTTGGAGGTTGACAAGGCGAAAGAGGCCTGTTGTCAGCCACCAAATTATGATGTTGAGTACTGCCCGAGCGGAAGATAGCAAGGCGGTTGATGTAGGATATGGAGTAAGCAGAGATAGTGGCAGTGGACGCAACTACCACGTCGGTGGGTGCACCAGAGGCACAACACAAGGTGGGTCATCGAGGATGTAGTGCACATCAAAGCAGTCGCCGTCCCGCGGTAAATTAGATAGAGAAAATACATGACATGTTAGGCTGTTACTCGCTAGCAGCAGAAATATTCAGCTTATTCATGCAGTAACAGCAGGGTCTGTTGCGCTGAATCTTTGAGATGAAACCAAACCAAACTAATACATACCTAGCATCCGTCCAGAAATCTTGATTACGGAATATATATGGCCCCATTTTAAGTTTCAGAGGATATACTCGAATATCTATTGTTTTGTAGGGATTTGAAAAAGAAAAGAAAAGAAAAAGCACTTATAATAAGGCAATGGCTTCGTGAGAAAGCACAAGAAATATCGTTGCGCGGCAGCAAGGCATACCTTAATTTGCTTCATGGTGAACTGGAAATGTGCTTCTATGTCAAACTGAAAAAATATATATGTTATCAGGCTCGCAATTAATAAAGATATACTTTCAGCAGGTCAGGCTAGGAATTAATAAAGTTATACTTGTTGAAAGTGACGCTAGAAACAACAAAAGGCTATTTGGGTTAGATAAATGTCATTGGAGTCCGAGAAGGTTGCACAAACACGAACCAGATTAGAAGTAGGTCGGGGTAAAATTTGTGTTTTTGTGAAGTTAAATAAAATTGACATCATATATACTAACGCGTAGTTCTTCTACTGTATGCAGGACATTCAAAAGGCAGTGACTGTTTGCCTCTGCTGTATCGACGACCCTGATCATGTTGGACAGATAAATAAGATATTACTAGATGTGAAGGTTCGCCATAACTTCTTATTTTATACCAAAATCTAACAAGCTAATTATTATTTTGTTGCTTTATTTACCGAAAAAGGCTTTCGCCCCGCTTTATAAATAAAGCAACCGCCACAGAGCATACATACCATACAGGTTCACACACACACCCAAGTCTCACGAAAAAGTACCAAGGTTCTGCTGAGGGCACAGCTCAACAAGCCCAAAAAAGAGGCAAACAACAACAACACATCGCACCCGACACCAGGGGGCTAATCGGGCTCCGGCGGTGGCGGCGGCGGCGGCGGAGAGATGCGGACGGCCATCGATCGAAGGTCGGTGATGAAGGCGGAGATGGCGTCACGGTCCGAGGAGCGACTAAGCGGCCGCCAAAGCTGCAAGAAACCCGAGAATTTGTAGAGGGCGTCAGAAGGGCGACGAAGGGGAGCGCGCTGGATCACGAGTTTATTGCGAACGGTCCACAATGTCCACGCAAGGACCCCAACTTGCAGCCACCTAATGTGGCGAATGGACACGGGGGACAATTGGAGTTCAGCGAAGAGGTCCGGGAAGTTAGTGTGGCACCAACTCCCGCCGACCACCTCGCGGAAGCAGCTCCAAAGGAATTGAGCGGAGATGCAGGAGAAGAAGATGTGGTTCGAGTCCTCCGGGACGCCACAGAGAGGGCAGATACCGGAGCCGGGGCCATTGCGCTTCCGGACCTCCACACCAGACGGAAGTCTACCACGGATCCATTGCCACATGAAGATGCGAATCTTCAGAGGAACCCGCGCGGTCCAGACCATCGATAAGGGGAAGGGTGCGGAGGAAGGGGCGATGGCCGCATAGAGCGACCGGGTGGTGAACAAGCCCGACGGCTCAAGTCTCCACCTGGTACAGTCCGGCCTATCATCCACAAGCGGCTCATGAAACGCAACGCAATCAAGCAACTCACGCCAGGCGGCGGATTCCGCCGGCCCAAACGGACGGCGGAAGGCAAGGCGCCCCAGATCAAGAAGGGCCCTATTGACGGAAATCATGTGGTCAACTGCAATAGAGAAGAGGGCAGGGAAGCGAGTGCATACTCGTATAAATCTTGCTCTTTCTAAAGAAATGCAGAAGTTTATATGTGCATGCTTGACTAAATAGATATTAGCCAAATACAGGTTGGACATGCTTCACTATGATAAGCGGTACCCAACTGATTGTCGCCTCCATAGCTTCCATCATGGACAGACTGGGGTGGCGAACCATGCCACTCAAGGCATCACTTTTCAGTTGATTGCCTTAGTCATGTTTGAAGATAGTGGCAATTAGGTCTTTATATAATGTTGTGAAACTAGCACAGATGATGAAACACTGTAGGGTGATATACTTAATTTACCTGTAATCTACTAATTTTTATTAGTTGTGATACCAGTTATATAAATCACAACTAAATAATTTTCTTAGTATTTACTACCATGTGCAATCATGAATGCTAATGATAGTTTTTAATTTGCGTGTATATTCTTTATATGAATAAACCATTTAGTCTCACCAAAAAAATTGTATGCTATTGAATTACTGGCTTGATGGATGTCACCCCCAAACATACCCTTTGACTTTTATTTACTGTTGAAACAATTTGTATATTTCTATTGTTTCATGCATTTTTTCTATATCTATGTAGTTCTTTCCTCTACATGGACGGGTGCGGCAATCGCACGCATTTGTGATCTAGGATAAATGCTTTTGCTTTATCATAGGCCACTAAACATGCTAAGCTTGCGTGGCTGGAACACACGCTTCGGTACAACAATCGGACCTAGCACCACGCGCCAATGCGCGCTGCTGGTCACTTATATAGCATCTCCTTATTCGTATATTATTCACATATAGCATCTCATTTCTTGTTTGATTGCTTATATATGCTCAGCGGGAGAAGCACGAGGCGCTGCACCTCTGACCCTGTAGTGCTTGGCTCCAATTCATCAGGGAAGACGCCGGCAAGCATCAAGCTGCCCTTGGTGCTTCCTCGTCATCAAGGAGGAGGACGTCAGGAAGCGCCGTCCTCAAGGTACGTCCTCGCAGCTTTGACCTGCCTCTTTCGTGCACCTTATCCTTCCCTATTTCTCTTGTTGTCACCATGTTCGTGCCGCCCTAACCTAGGTTGCCATCGCTCCTCGGCGCTCTGCGGGCACAACCGTCACCACACCACAGAGAAGGACGCGGATGTGATGCTGCTCCTTCTTGTGGTGTATGCGTCGGCGTGGCTTGCGGTAATGAGGCATATCCTCGTGGGTAAATGCTATTTGAAGACCATTCATGTGATTTAAAAGAGAAGATGTCCAGAATGTCTAAGGAGGTTGAAGATGACGATCAAAAGATTGATCCATTAAGTGACTGCCAAGATGCCAATAATGCTTGCCCCGTGCCATTAGTAATACCCTTGCTCTTTATGAAATCTTTCCTATTATATATTGATGCAACAATTATCGTTGCAGTTTGTAAGATCCTTATTTACATACATCACTCAGCGGCTGGCCTGTACAGAGTTGCGTGGCAAGCATATGTGTTCCCAACCATGTTATCAATTGTAGGCTTGGAATGATTTGCTTCATCCAAGTGTTGTTTGTCAACAATTCCTTTTTTTGTCCATGTCGATTCTGATTTTAGAGGACACATATGTTTCGGAACTATATTGTTTCTATGTTTTTCCCTGATATATACTGATTGATGCAGTAATTGATGTTTCAGATTATGAAATTCCTATTTAATGGATCGCTCGGTAGTTGTCTTGTATGAATGCATATGCTAAATTTGGATTTCTACTAACTTAACATTACATGCTTGATCAAAATATTAGGACCGGCACCCTCGCGCCAAGGCGCGATTCCGATCTAGTTACTTGTGGTGTGGCGAGAATGCAGTCCCACCATGTACAAGAAGGGTGACATATATTACGAGAATGCAGTAGGGCAATAAAAAAAGAACGCGGGTCACTTTGGTGCACGGGTGCATTGAGGCTAGGGATGAAAAAGGAGTGGAAACGGACGAAACTGAGTGCTACTATATTTGTTTTCACATTTTTTTTGCAGAAGCAGAAACGAATACAGAAACTCCGGAAATGAATACGGAAACAGATACTGCCGAAAATGGACATGGAGCGAATACAAAGCTGATACAGAAACAAAAATAGGCATTGATCGGAACTTAAACATCCCTTGAATCATAGAAAAATACACACAAAATAAAAAAATGAGTTGTTAACATGGCTACAAAATAATATCATTATGTTGGCACCTTAGCGTAGTATTGTATTAGTACCGAGGTCAAGCTGAGTGCATGTGTGGTAGTAGAAGTTGGGCCTCAGATCCATTCTACTAATTGTGTCATTGTATTTTCGTTGGTGGTTGGGCTACAAAGCAGCTATAGGTATATAGTAAAAACAGAAATTCCATATTCACGAAAACGGAAAGTTCCGTTTCCATGCATGTTCCACCGGAAAACACCGTTCCGTTTTTGTTCCCGTTTCCGCATAAAAAAATTCCATCTCCACTTCCGTTTTGTAAATTTCCGTTTCCGTTTTCATATTTCCTCTCCGTTTCCATTTTTCCTCCGGAAAAACAGAAAGTTTCCACTCCATTTTCATCTCTAATTGAGGCACTATATTTGGAAAGCATGCATTGTTCACTATTTAGAAATCATCATCTTGTCATTTTTTAAAAACTTGAACTGTGATTTTAAAAGTACGTAAAATAAGGGGCTCCAATGCACCCGTGCACCAAGAATCCACTCTCATCACACCACTCGCTTCAAGACGTTACTGACATAGACATGGTATACTACTCCAACATGGTCGAGCAAGTTTGAGGGCAACTCAGTGGCCTCGGTGACGATGCACTCTGGGCCGGTGTCCTTTGACCAGCGCGGCCCACGCAGGCTCGCCGACAGGCCTGGGCCGTATCCGCTGGGATAAAACTCGAAATTCTGACGACACGAGACCCATGGCCCCATTCATCCGGCTCTCCCCACTACACTACCCAGGGGCCAGGGCTCGAGCTCTCCCTCAGAAAAAAACCTAGGTCGCGAGCGATGGCGCCGCCGCCGCCGCCGCCGGCGAAATGCCCGACCACCGTGCTCGATCTCGACGATGACCTTCTCCGCGAGGTGTTCCTCCGCCTCCCCGGCCTCCCTAGCCTCGTCCGGGCCGCCCTCTCCTGCCGCACCTTCCTCTCCGCGGTCCGTTCCTCCCCGGCCTTCTTCCGCAGCTTCCGGGCTCTCCACCCGTCTCCCTTCGTCGGCCTCTTCGTCCAGCGCAGAGGCTTCAAGCCCGAGCCCTCCTCTTTCGACCCCCACCACACCCGCCCTGATCTCGACTTCGAGGCCGCTGCCCGCGGCGGCGATTTCTCCCTCACCGCCCTCCCACTCCCAGACGCCGACGGCAGCGAAGACGGCGATGAGGAGGAGGAGTACGAGGAAGAAGAAGAAGACGACGACGAGGAGGAGGCCTCGCCCGTGTGGGAGATTGAGCGGTGCTGCGACGGCTACGTGGTTGTCTGCAACCGGAGGGCCAAGCAGATAGCTGCCTACAACCCTCTCACCCGGGCGCTGCATCTCTATCCCCCGCCGCCCCGCCTTTTCTCCGACGCCACTAACTTCGAGTTCCACATTATCTCCTCCCAAGAGGACCCCGGCGTGCCACCCCGCGTGGTGTGTTTCGCTTTCGACTTCTTTGAGTTCTTTCAGGCCAAGGCGGTCGTCCACATCATCTCGCCGGACAGCAGCATCAAGTCCAAGTGCCGCAAGTTCCCTGGCACCGGGAGCGGGGTCACCGGCAAGATGGTGAATGGGTTTGTCTATTGGACGCACGTGAGGGAACCCTACATCACCGTGCTCGACACCGCGACGCTGAAGTTCACCAAAATGGATCTGCCGCCGCTCTTGGCGGATCAGGAAGGCCGTGAGTGTGCTTTTGTGTTTGGCAATACCAAGGATGGGAGGCCCTGTATCGTTTATCCAGATTTTTGCTTGCTTGATGTTTTCTTTTGGAGACGCGAGGACGAGTATTATGATGACGGTCGCAATTACTGGATGCTGGACCACACATTACCCCTGAAAACGATTCGCCAGTTCGTTAAGTTCTCAGAAGGAGATGATGAATTTATCATTGTGCGGCTTATGGATGTTATCGATGGAATCGTGTACCTGCGTACTGAGTATGACGGGTGTACCGAGGCTCCTCAGTTGTTGCTATCCTTTTGTCTCGAAACAGGGGAGCTGAAATTGATCTGTGAAGATTATCACAAGCCTGTCCTTCCCTACATCATGGCGTGGCCTCCTTCTTTGGTACAAAATGATAAGGTGAGCCCATGCATATACAGTTTCTTTCCACTGGATTCGATGCAAGTTTTATTTACCTGAGAGCATTGAATTAATGGATTATGTGGGAATCTGCTATCCATTTTACTGTATATGACTCCATTTTGCAATTCTAGTTCACTCGAAATACTCGGGTCATAATGTCTAATACCCTTTGATGGTGCTATATCTGAGATGGACAGTTCTATTATGATAGTGTGCACATATGAATATGATAAATCATATCCTTATGGCACTATGGTTTGTTATTCTGTGTTTGATATAAGAAGCACTTGAGTCCCCTAGAGCAGAAATTCAAAATTAGTCATGTCAAGGAATCCATTGGTGAAAGATTATACACATATATGTAAATGATATTCTGTAGGCTCTGTAACTGCTTTGTTCAAAAATGGAGACTTTTCCACTCTTTAGTGTTACTGTTGTTATAACCATGTTCTTGATGTTGGGCTCAACATTTTGTTTACTGCTTACCGCAGTATATGTCGATTGAGCCAACATCGACGGATCTTAATTCGGAGTTCAAACACAATAGTTGTTTTGGGTTGGTCACAATACTTACATCAGCTGTAAATTCTTTAGGGTCCCTGTTCAAAAGATGAAGCTTTGTCTACTCCAGGACCTGAAGGAAGTGATGTGAAGGCCGGGGGTGGCCCAACAGAGCCTGCATCTGTTGCCAAAGCATAATAGGTAACAATGTGGACCGAAGGTTATATATAAATTCAGAATGTGGATGGTTTGCATAACTGGACATGGACCTGCACCTTTGTTAGGATAGTAAATGTTGATTCCGTTTTCCATAACCTTGCATCTCCAAACTTTCTAGAATGCTTCTGAGATGATATTTTTGTTGCTTTACTTTTTCGACACTGCTAACATTTGGATGGTACCTTTCGGATGCATGAAAGCCTGCTATTCCTAGCTTTTAAAATAGCCTCATATTTAAACATTTTAGGATCAGATGGTAGACTTGGCTTAGATTTCCAATGCACTATACTGATGAATGATGGGCACTTGTTTATCTTCCTTTTGTAGGATTACTTAGGGACTTGGTGAGATGGTGGTCTTTTGGCGATGCTGATGCATGATGACTCAAGCAATATGCTGATACTTTGAAGATTGAAATCCTGATGCCCTTGTTTTATCTTAATGTGCCTTCTGCGTATGCAGTATTCTGGAACTTTAGTTGTCGATTGCTTGTCACTCAAGATTATGAACAGCATGGTAATTTGAAGTTTTAAGCCTTGTTGCTGCTGGTTTGGTGCATACTGGATTTCTGGGTTGATATATGTCTAATCTTACTGCTGCTAGTTAATTCTTGTTCAGGATTTTCTTTGCCAACGATCTGCATGCATGGATCTTGTATGGTAATTTTGCATGCTCCTCGCTGATGCCTTCTATCCTCAGCCTTGCAAATCAATTGAGCAAAAAAGCCGGAGCTGAGCCGGAGCCTCGTATTGTGTAGCACTATCTGGCTGAGCTAATCTGTTTCGACTGAAATCCACTCAGTACTCATTTTCTCATATATGGTCCGCCTACTAATGCTGAATGCACAGTGATTTTACAATGCAGTTCATATGATCATACTAGTTTATGATCATGATTGAATTATCTGCACCAGTGTTAGTGATTGCATTGCTGAACTTGTGGCTAAGATAGATCTCGTGTTGTGAGGCAACCTCAAAGATTTGATTGATGATTTACACTTTTTTTTCACAAGCAGATATATGAATATTTATTTTTCCGTTGCAACACGCGAGCATATTTCCTAGTTAATCAAATAGTAACAAAATGTTTTACAAAGCCCGGAGACTCCAGAAAGCAAACATGTCGACCCCGAGCTAAGTCAAGTGAAAATCTAGCAACACTGGCATCCCCATTAGATTCTCTACCCTTGAACTTAAAAATAACTTTGCTTAAAGACAGTTTCAAATCTCTGATCTCTCTAATGATCGTAGCATTTTCATCTAGAGACCTTTCAAGAATACTTTGGACAACACCAGCATAGTCCGAAGCGATTGTCATTGAACTCAATCCTAAATCTTTTGCCAAGCAAATCACCTCACTGCAAGCTATAGCTTCAACCGCAGCCGGTACCACTGCTCATTAGTGACTAGCACCGATGCTGCCATGAACTGTCCCTCTTCTGCACGGAAAATTGCAGCAGCTGCACTCCTCTCTTCTGATAAAGTCCATCTACTCCATTAGTGACCAGGACCGACGCGCCCATGAATTGTGCTTCCTCTCTTTCGGGAAAAATATGTGCTTCTATGAGAAGCAAATTTGTACTTGTGAAAGCACAGTTTTCTCAGAGAAGCACAACTGTGGTTCTAGCGAAAGCTAATCTTGAAGCCTAGATTATTTTTCCCTTTTCAAGAAACATAGTTGTGCTTCTCGTAACAATGCCACGAGCTACAACGCGTACGTGCTGGAGGGGGGCGCGCCTGTACTACAAGCTGCTCGTAGTGGGCGTCAAGCCGGTGTTCCTAACAGGCGGGACCGAGGGATCAGAGGGTCATCACAGTTGCGAATCTCCGCCGCGAGGGCATCTCTAGATGGATGAACTTGCTGTCAAGCAACCAGGGTTCAAGGGCTCCACGGTGACTTACAAATCTGGTGAGAGGCAGAAGTTGCAGGACGCTGGCTACTGCACCGTGGGAAACATAGTCGACCAGTGGAGCGACATCCTCGGTGCGCCCGAGAGCGCGCACACCTTCAAGCTGCCCGACCCCATGTACTACATCGGCTAGGCCTGCAACCATCGATTGGTCGTGGTCTGTTGTTGTTGCTTGGTTAGTTTCCTCAGTTGGGATCAATTGCTACTATCAATAAGACGTATGGGAGGACTAACTACATGTTGCTCAATCAATGGATCCACTGCTGGTTTTCTTTTTCTTTTTTTCCGAGAAATTCATGGGATGAGCAATTTTAAGATGCTCCCTCTTACCCCCTCTTTTCACATGGGAGGTAAAAAAGGTAAGGGTTAATCAGCAATTTTCTCCTCTTTTGATTGTAGACTTCTCCGAATATTTGTTCTCAAACCTTTCCTGTGCCAAATGAAAGCATTGGACTTCTTGATATTCTACGGTCTGAATTTCACTTCATATTGCACCGGTTTTCATCAGCTTCTCACAAATACTCATTGATATTGGAGTAGCAGGATAAAATGTATATTGTCATCACGCAAGTAGATTTTACTGCTAAATTTGCTGCACTTTTTCTCTCCATATATTGTAGGTACATGACCATGAGCTGTAACTTGCAGCTGATTATGTATGCTTCGTTCCAGCTGTAACTTGGAAGTAATCATGTACAGTTCACATTTTTGTCGACTCACACGTTAAACATGCCTCAAAATGTTCAAAAAAGAACTTGCCCGAGACTCGATCGTCGGTATCCCAATACCTCGTTCAGTCTCGTTACCAGCAAGTCACTTTACTCGTACCGTAATGCATGATCCCGTGACCAAACACTTGGTCACTTTGATCTCATTATGATGATGCATTACCGAGTGGGCCCAGAGATACCTCTCCGTCATACGGAGTGACAAATCCCAGTCTCGATCCGTGTCAACCCAACAGACACTTTCGGAGATACCTGTAGTGCACCTTTATAGTCACCCAGTTACGTTGTGACGTTTGGTACACCCAAAGCACTCCTACGGTATCCAGGAGTTACACGATCTCATGGTCTAAGGAAGAGATACTTGACATTGGAAAAGCTCTAGCAAAACGAACTACACGATCTTGTGCTATGCTTAGGATTGGGTCTTGTCCATCACGTCATTCTCCTAATGACGTGATCCCGTTGTCAATGACATCTAATGTCCATAGTCAGGAAACCATGACTATCTGTTGACCAACGAGCTAGTCAACTAGAGGCTTACTAGGGACCTATTATGGTCTATGTATTCACACGTGTATTACGATTTCCGGATAATACAATTATAGCATGAATAAAAGACAATTATCATGAATAAGGAAATATAATAATAATACTTTTATTATTGCCTCTAGGGCATATTTCCAACATGGAGTTGTTAGGAGAATGAATTTGGCAATTGAGCCACACGCAAGCAAGATATATACGAGGGCTGTGTTTAGGAGTTCAGTCACCTACTAATTAAAAGCACGGCATAAAATGTCGCGGCGGTGGAGAAGATGATGAAGTATGTCATAGCGCACAACAAAGAGGCGAAGAGGAGGGAAAATGGAACAGAGTTGTGTACGAGGTTACAGTAAACGAGAACCGGTTGGGAGTTTAAGTACGTGTGTGGACAATTTGAGCACACCAGAATGTTATGATGCCACGTCTTGAGGTTAACTTCCATGGATGATATCATTTCGTGCCTGAAACTTCTGTTTGGATAAGAAATTTGTGTGTTCAGCGAAGACTTGCATCTTGAGACGATATATTACTGATAACCGAACTGCCCCTGATGCAGGTCATTGCTGTACTTCATTTGAAGGAGATTCTTTTGAAGCTGTGGACCAAGGACGCGAGAGACATTCTGCCCTAGCACCTGACTCAATACCGGAAGGGCCACTCAGTTAACATGTTTTCATTTGCAAGCATTCAACACCATACATGAAAGCTATGGAAGTCGTCAGGATAGGAGATGCAAGTGCAGAACCATTCGAGCACATGTTAGCTGCTCTATATACTAAGAATACTAGGCCCGTAAGGGTTTCATTTTTTTGGGTTTTTTGGATTTTTTTTACCGTCCTTATTAACACGACGCGTGTGATGGGGAGTTCTTACACTGGACGTGCTCTTTTTTAGGCATTTTGCACGTTTCGTTTACTTATGTCGGTCGCCGCTTTACCTGGGTCTCGATCGTGTGCCCCGTACGTTTCGTGTGGCTTTGCTGGTGGTTTGTTCGTTTGCCACGATTCAGTTCCCAATTCGTTTTTATTTTTTTATTGCACCGAGGCCTCTCACGAACCATCCACACTGCTTTCATGGGAGAATAAATACCCCCATCTCTCGCAAAAGCAGCAGCATGACGAGCATACGGCGGCGGCGCGCGGCGCGCGGCACGGCGTCCTCTTACTCAGGTATCTCTTGCTCTTCCTCCTCCCTCTCCCCTTCCCCTTTCCATCTTACTTCTCCTCCATGGTTGATGTTGCGCTGCTGTTGTGCAGATCGGCGGGAGCAACTGCGAGGGCAGTGGCGTTACATGAGGGGCAGCAGCGTGGTTGCCATCCGCCGCCGTGACCAGCAGGGGCTTCTCCCAAGTTCCGGTCTTCGTATTAGCTCCAGATCCTAATGAAGCACGCCGGCGGCGGCAGGAAATTCTCCGGGGAAGCGTTCTCTTGATTCATCTTCTGGTGTGTGTATCTATCTATGTTTGGTTCATCAGATTTTCAGTTATTGGGCTTGGCTTTCTTTTTTTTTCCTCAGTTTTTTTGATTTTTTTTCTTTTCCATTAGATTTGTTAGGCTGCGCTATTGATAGGCATGTTCAGCCCAAGGTTAGTGAATTTTTTCATAATGATCTTGCTCCTGTGGATTTGTTCCAGCGACACCAACGGCAACGACGGCATCTCGGCTTCCTGCATCGTGCGTTTTTGAGAGAGCGACTGCAGATCGTGCTAGACAGTGCGTCGGTGGAAACTTCAGGCTTGGTGTCTCCCACCCTGCCCACCCTCTGCCACGGCACGCAGCCGAACACCTGAAGAACCAGCT